TTCCTTGATTTTAAAAGTCTTAAGGAAGGCAACGGAAGAGAAAGCTCGAGGTATCTTAGTTGTCCCATTCTGGCCATCACAACCCTGGCTTCCACGGTGCATGAAGTCATTTGAATCAAAACCCATCTTGTTCAAACCTGATCGTAATTTATTACTCTCTTCCAATAGGGAACCTCATCCACTGTGGCACCGGCTTTCCCGGGTGGCAGGAATTTTGTCACCCAGGCCTTCGAACTTTAAGGCATGTCAAAGGAGACAATTGATATAGAATTGGCATCGATCAGTGTTAATTCTCATAAACAATACGAGGCTGCCTACAGGAAATGGTCGACGTTTTGTCACAACAGAGGTTTTCCTCCTTTACTTCCCACAATATCAAATGTTTTGCTATTCTTAACAGAAGAGTTTGTTCTAAAGGCTTCCTATGGTTCTATCAACTCCTACAGATCAGCCCTGGCCTTTATTTTGGGTAATCAATTAGCCCAACACCCTAGTATTAAAAGATTTTGCAAAGGTGCTGCATCCCTCAGACCACCACAACCCAAATATGACGTTACGTGGAACCCGAAAACTGTTTTGGACTTCGTTAGGACCTGGTCCCCTAACAATGAAATTTCTCTGAAACAATTATCTTTAAAGGTAACGATCCTTTTAGCTCTTACTACGAGCCAACGTATGCAGGCGTTGGCTGCAATTAACATAGAGAATATCTCTCGTGTTAGTGATTGTATCGAGATCAAGATTCCATCAAAACTAAAAACGTCAAAACTGAAAAAACCTCAACCAACTCTTCTTTTACCGAGCTATAAGAAAGATCCAAGGATCTGTGTTGTTGCTGCTCTAGACTCATATCTGGAAAGAACAAAAGACATTAGATCTGATAATAAGACACTTCTTATTTCCTATCAGAAATCTCATAGCCAGTTTGCACTCAAACATTGAGTCACTGGATAAAGTATGTTTTATCTGAAAGTGGCATTGACACTTCAATTTTTACTGCTCACAGCACTCGTCACGCATCGAGCTCATCTGCTAAAAGAAACGGTATATCCGTTGATTTAATATTAAAAACAGTCGGATGGTCAAGAGAAACCGATATATTCGCAAAATTTTACGATAGAGAGTTGGTTGAGGATAAGAGTGTTTATGCTACGTCAATCCTAGACTCATAAGAGAGCTTTATAAGTTTAAGAAACATTTCTCAATTTAGTTACTTTTTATTATGATTTGGTCATACTAATTCATCTGTATCGTTCTGTCATGTATTCTCTATTCAGAGTTGTTCAATAAACCTTTTGCACACTTTATAGAAATTCTCATCATCATTGGGAGAATGAATACTCGCGCCGTAACAAGCTTTGAACATCTACCTGATGATCTTGAGGAAGAGGCGCGAAATACAATTATAAGATTAAACGAACTTACCTGTAAGTGAAGTTCTATCTTAATTGTATGAAGCGCCTCTTCCGAAAAGATCAGTCCCACCTGGAATTCCCCAGCAGACCTGGTTTTTCAGTCTACATTCTTCCCCATCTTTTCTCCTTGTTACGGCCTTTAAATAATGATAATGGCGGCCCGGCGGACCCCGAGCTGGTAGTGGCACCGCCGAGTAGCCAAAATTTTAACTTGATGCTTTGAAACTTGTGGTGACATCTGCATGAGGGGGGGTACTACCTGATGATCTTGAGGAAGAGGCGCGAAATACAATTAAGATAGAACTTCACTTACAGGTAAGTTCGTTTAATCTGATAATTTTGACCTAAAATCACGGAATTTTTTCAGAGCGTTCTGTAATTTTTACCTGAATCTCCTGCGAAAAATTACGATACTGTCACTTAAATTTTCTGAGTCGATTCCGTAATCAGTGAGCGAACTGTGAGTTTCGTAATTGTTATTGAAAATTTCTCTCTGTGTGTTTGAGAGCATCCTCTGCTGTACTGCTAATGAATTTGTATTGTTTTTTTTTTCGTTTGGAAAAAATCCTATGGTGAATTTTGATTCGTATTATAGATCTACAGTGTTATTTTTGTTCTGTTAATATATTATTGAATGTAGAGGGTATAATTGGTAGATTATCCGATCACGACGCATGATTAGCTGCACTATAATATCCGCCGTGCACACCTTGTGAGTGTGAAATCATAATTTCTTGCATTATTCCTGCATTCTTGTGGTCTTGTAAAGGGAAGATTGTGATGACACTGTCATCAATTAGAAAAAATAGTTGTTGAGATTCATTCTAAATATTGACGATTTTGGGAATCATTTAAGCCAGAGGTAGATAATTAAGAGGTTCTAATGAAATAGAAAATGCGAATGTGTTTACAAAATTATTCTTAAAGATCTAATGTGTGACAATTTATGTCGTATGTTCAAATATTTAATCCAGAGGACTTCAAGACGGAATCAATATGGTTAAGAACCTTTCTATATTCAAGGGGTAAATACATGATAGGGTTCTTACGACAGATAAAAGCCAAGTGGAGAAAGAATGGGGTCCATTAGTCATGGGTAGAGACAAAGCTATCGCTCTTCTCCTGTTCGATATGATTACATCCTGTAACTATCGTAGAGGCAAGCATCAACAAAGCTATCGTTCGATCACTTGAAAAATTCTTGAAAAGCGGTGGAAAAATAAATCCTTCATTAAAAATAGATCATTTCTCAAAGTATTATCATTCAACAAGTTTACCCGAAAAAAACAAGCTTTATTTTGAGATTTATAATCTCACTTGTAAAACTCAAATTGAGATTTTTAAACGTCTTAAGGTCAGACTACTATGAGTTTTAAAAGTCGTGGGCTACACTGGAGTGAGATTTCTTATGCATTGAAGAAAACGAATAATTACTGCAAAAAAAATAGACGTTTAAAGTGTTAAAAATAGTCCAGAGCCTGCAATTTTGAGCTACAGAGTTTTTTTTTCAAAATTTTTGAAAAAATGTGTACAATAACAATTACGACTTTACGTTTTTGAAATTCAACTCCTATCCAGCTAATTTCGTCTTTTTAATCTAAAAATTTGTAGTATTCATATGGAATCGGCAAAAAATTATCCTTAAAATATTTAAAATATATTCTCGATTCTTTCAGAAATATTTTTCGGGCTATTTTACAAGAATGTAAAATAGCCTCGGGCTATTTTTATATTACAAAACTAATTCGTAATTGTTATTGTACACATTTTTTCGAAAAAATTGAAAAAAAATGTCTGTATAGTCCTCTGGACTATTTCCAACATTTTAAGCGCATGCAGGACAAACAAATAATTAACAATTAATTGTTTTGCACTAATTATTCATTTTTAAACATATGTAATCGATCTTCCATGTATGAGTAACCTCATTCCAATAGCCCGCGACTTTCAAAACTCAGTAGTCTCGCCGAGGGGCTACTCACTCCCGAAGTCATGGCGCCACTCTGTAATGAAGTCAATCTGAAGTCACGTTGAAATCATGTGAATTCATTGAAGTCATCGAAATCACTGAAGTCACGCGATTTCAACCCTCTGAAATCATTTCTGTAATCATGGCGAAGTCTTGAAGTCGCGCCGAAGTCATGAAATCACACCGAAGTCATTTGAAATCAATTAAATTAACCGGCGTGGCGTACTGTGGTATCGTACTGCGTTGACGTACGTAGTAAATAATATTTTTACTTTTGTTAGTGAGCAGGATTCTTATACTGAATTCAAGAGGATATCGTACTCCTTAGTAAGTTCTGTGACATTTTGGATGAGAGTTTGAATTGTTTGAAATCCGAGCCAATGACTGTTCACGGCTACATCGATATAAAACAATACAGAAAGACAATTTCCCCTCCACTGATATGTGAGACTGGCCATGTAAAGCTCCATGAGAGCATTTTTGATAAGGTTAAAAAATATTTTTGAAAAATTACAATTGATACGTTAAATAATGAATTTGTAAAATACTTTATGTATCACTCTTAAAATATAAAGGTTGGAAATTAATTTTTAATTGTTTTTTAATTTGTAAAAATTCGAGATTGATAGATTGGATTCAAGTAAAGCCTTCTCCAGTTCTTGTTTCATGCTTTGAACTAAGAACAAGTTGCACTGAATCCGATTGTAAAATAAGCAGACTTCGAAAACTTAAACCGGCCCGTTCTGCCTCATTCCCTCGTTTCTTGAGCTTTATTAATCGTGATTTGAATGACTACATTGCCTCTGAAATCATTCATTTCGAATCCATGAAATCATTCGAAGTCAATTGCAGCCACGAAGTCATGTCACGAGTCACTTGAAGTCATTGATTTATTTTTTTCCCGAAATCATCGAAGTCAAACTCGAAGTCACTGAAATCAACCCCGAAATCGCGTGAAGTCGACTTCATTTCGAAGTCATGGTGTTACTCAATCAGGGAATGAGTGGCTCCTCGAGTCTCGCCTTAAATTGAGACATCAAAAGTCTCAAGTTAATACTTTCAAAGACCTCAAATTGAGACTTTCCGAACTCCGCTTGAAGAAAAATTTCAAGTTGAGTTCCGAAAGTTTCAACTTGAAGCACTCAAAAGTCTCGAATTTAGTCTATGAAAGTCTCAAATTGAAACCTTCGAAAGTCTTGACTTGAGACTTTCAGAAGGCTTCAATGGAGATCTCCAAGTCTCAAATTGAGACTTAAAACTCTCAACTTAGGACATTTAAACTTCAAATTCAAAATTTTTTAAATCTTATATTAAGACCTTTAAAATCGTGAAGTCAGGTACTATTTTTCTGGGTGTTAATTCACCTGTTCAATATTTATCGCTGTTGCCTTTGTAGGAGATGAGAAACTAGCCAAGATTGGTCGAGGACAGCCCAATTTTGACCAGGACTGGTCCATCCTCGGCATACCCTGGGCCTTTTCTCACCTCCTACCAGGGTCATTATTCAATTCTTCCATTAATTATTATTTTCGAATTAAAGGAAATCACGTCGTCAAGACGTAATACAATTTTAGATTGAGGCATCTTTTTGGGTCGGAAGGGATCTCCACAACGAATGAGAGTATATAATTTTTTATTCGAATTCATCTACAGAATTTATCAACAGTGTTACATAAACAATTTTGAATAATTGATTTTGGAAATTGAAGAATAAAAGTTGCGACGGTTGATAAAGTAGACCAGTCCTATTTTTCCGGCTGTCCTGTAACTCCAGTGGTCCTGTTATTATAAAAATTACGTCAAAGTTATTTTCATGTGACAAGTTTACAAACAAAAATAGTGGAATATCGAATGATTAATAATGCTTCGTAATGATGACATTCGAAATAATTGAATAGCTCTCTTTGGTAAACTGATTGAACAACTCGTGCTCTGTTAACTTGCAGACACTAAATTCAAGTCTCATCTTTTACAGGGAAAAAAGTTTCTGAGAACTAGAATCTAAGTATTATATACTAATTATTAAGGCAGACGATGGGAACAAGCTTGTATGAGCCCTGAGTTGGCGAGGCTGAGTGGCTCAGGCCTCAGCCAGCCCTGTTCTCATTGCTGATATTAGGCTGAAATGAGGGTGATTCTTAAGGCTATCTACGAAGGTCAATTCAGGTCTAGTCCAGGTCTTGAGTATTGAGGTTCAGTACATGGAAAAAAGCTGAGTTGATCGTATTTTATACCACAATCAAGTGCATAAACTCGAATTCAGAATAAAATATACTTGATTCAAGTGTATTTTATACTTGAATGGAGGATCGGTATTTCAATTCGAGGATGATTCTTTCGTATCAGGCCGAGCTGTATCAAGCCCTCTCAAGTGTAATACAAGGATCAGGTACTAAGTATCAGAATATAAGGGTCAAAAACTTGAGGTTAAAAAATGAGAGTCGGAATATTAAAATTCAAAAGTGAGGGCCTGAATGTAAAAATGAAGGAATGAGGATCAGAATATAAAAGTGAAAAAAGTGGGTGTTAGGAAACGGGGGTCTAAATATTAGGTCTAAAAATGGTGATCAAAAATAATATATGGTACATTCCACCAATTACAGACTGATTATTCAGCTTCAAAATTTCAATCATTCCCAAAATTTCTCCACTTATTAGTAGTGTAGAAAGGAAATTCGTGTTAAATTTTTAGATCTTAAACTCAATTAGGAAGGGAGATATGTGACACTGTCTGACCCTTATATTACACTTAAAAGGATTTTGTACAATCTGGCCTAATACTATAGTATACACGGAGAGAAATTTTCTAGAAAAATTCTAGTACGAGCACTCGAAAGAATCACAATCCATCGGCTGTGAAAAATTTTAGTGCTGTTCAGGTAAAATTTCTTGGTATTTCTGGTAAAATTTCTGGGGATTTCTGTGAAATTTTCGCAGAAATACGAGGAAAAATCCACGTTTTTCCCAATAAAATTTCTAGTGTCAGCAAATTTCTAGTATCGGGCGGAAACTCAAGACTTTCCGCCCGAGGTGCACATGGGGTTTTTTTAACGCCTGCGAAGGAAAGTTCGTAATTTGCTCTTTAATGAGCGAGAAGAAAGTGCTCACTTTCCCCCCGCTCATCAGGGAGGAAAGTATGAACTTTCCATGTAGGGGTGTGAAAAAAAATTATCCTGGAATTGAAATACCCATCTAAATTGAATGAAAAATAATATACTTGAATCAAGTATATTTTATTCTTGATTCAGATTTATGCATATACTTGATTCCAGTATAAAATATATTACTCAATTCAGGTATATTTTTTTTCCGTGTACGTTAAGGCTCAACCTGGGCTTGACCAGTCATTAAGAATGAAGTCTACTTTCAATTAATTTTTGTAATTCTTGGAATAATGACTATTAATTAGCGATGGTGAAAACATTGTTATCTCCTCCACAAAGATAGTCATAAATATCCACCACATCATTTAAGCTAAGCCGAAACCAGGCTTGCGGCCTCCCTTTGGCCACGAGATTGCATAACTACAATTATCCTCATCTGTAATTAATTGACTAAGGGATTTTGAACTCATTAATCCATCGGATTTTCTTTTTTATTCGATTCGTAATAGTGTAATTCGTGGATAAACAAAAGAACACCGCGTTGTATTTTTATACTGGAGAAGAATGTCTCATCGTAAGACGTTTCAGATGGCCTAGTGGAAGCGTGCTAAACTGAAAATTAAAAGGACCCCGAATCGAATCTCCCCAAATAGGAGCAATTTTTCGAATGTTCACTTTTATTGTATTTCAATTACAGGTGCGCGGATGATGATTCAATACAACTAATTAATAGAAACTAGAAAAGTAGTAATAATAATAATTGCTTTCAAAATCATTGTTAATTAATCAATCATCACAATTAACGCTTATTTGGTTGTCGACCGTTACTAACGATGCTACCTCAGTCTTTTTTATGCAGTTCTCGAAATCGACAGAAAAGCTGATAAAAGAATCAGAAGTAATTTAAACAAATCTAATAATTTGTTAGACTGAAGCGCGCTTGACCGACGTCGGTGGCCGAAGCGGCTAGGTGCGAGCCTAGTGTACGAAAGGTTGTGAGTTCGATTCCCCGTGGAACCGAGTTTCTCAACCGGAGGCTCCGGCGAGCGGGAGGTCGCTAATATAGTGACCGCCTGTACCGGCATGGGTTTTCTGTGGTTTCCCATGCTACTCCTGTTCTATAGGAGTGCGAATGCGGTGCAGTGTAGAATCCACAGCCGCATGCATAGGGTTGGATAGGGCCGATTAGCCAATCAGAGGGCAGAAAGTGCCGGAATATAAAAAAAAAAAAAACTGAAGCGCGATTGAGCCTTCAAAATTTTTTAATTCAAGGCTTGAAGCCTCAATCCCGGTGGTTATTTTCGGGCTGATTCAACTTGGGCCTGAGACCTGAGTAAGGATTTTCGAGTCCTGGTTCAGGACTTGATGAGCCTTGTTTCCATAGTAAATTCCTACCTAGCAAGGAGATTCTAGAGTTCAGGACCTTTTCTTTTAAATTAACTGTATGAACACCATAATATAATAGGAGGTTGCGAATAGTGGCATGGAAGAGGCAAGAAAATTATCCTCCAAATTAAGAAAAAGACCGCCCATTTAGCCTCTGTACTTTTCGAGACATTGCGGAAAAACGTTTTACCGAATTGATTTTTTTTCTGCTGTATCTTCAAAACTATTCAAGTGAGAGAGATCATCCGTGTTATCATGTTCTCCACCAGCAAAAATTGTTCTTAAAGAATATCCAAGTGACTTTTACAGTTTGGTACAGAACACACTATTGAGAATTGGTGGATGGGCGGAGTTTGCGGTTTTGAGGTGATACTTTACATGTAAGTTTATGGGGTGAATTTAATTTTGATATGACTTGAATAAATGAGCATAATTTTCCAATATGTCTATCATATTTACTTGAGAGAGGTGAATTATTTTCAATCTCCTCAATCAGAATGTTTCTTCCGCGGAACTCGAATAAATTTGAATTTATCACTATCGTTCCGCGTTGCATCATGAATATATCGCATATCGAAATGTTGGAGGTCTACCAAAAAAATTATGAAAGCAATCAATACTTGACGATTGACGATTCTTCTACGCGATTTGAGTGAGCTCATTTCCGACAAAATCATACTTGAATACAAGAATATTTTAAGGTAACAGATTTTTCTCGGACCACGTGAGTTGAGATGCTTGGGAGAATTAAGCGATTGAAGGAAAATTACTTGTCTCAAGTATATTTCAGATATTGTAAATTTTTTTATCACTGTAAGATCCCATTCGTCATCTCACTAGCAGTCTGGTTGGAACTGACCAGCACAGCATCTGAATTCAGTAGCGAAATGGTAAAACAGTTTAAGTCGACTTATCTTCGTATCTCTGATCTCTTTAAGTGATTTAGATTAACTCTCTTTAGATTAAGTCTCTTATCTCTGTAATTACATTTGTTATAGCTCTCAATCGGCTCTAAAAAAAAGGTTACATAAAAAATTTTGCTATCTCCCTCAGATTCCAAGATATTCATTGAAAATTGGTCAGTAGTCAAAATTGATTTATATCATTTTACCACTTCGCTACTGAATTGACTGAGCTACATTAGATCTCGACACTTTCTTCAAATCCTCACTTCATTCTGATCCGAAAGTCTACACTGAGAAAAAATTACTTTTGCCAAGAAATCATTTTATTGGGAGAAGAATTAATTTTTTTAGGAGCTTATTTCTCTAGGCCAGTCATTCCCAGGTGGTCCATGTCCACCACCTACGTATCTTTCTTTAGAGTTATGTTGAATTGTGAGATGATTATGCTATTAGATTTTCTTACGTAAAATGATTTGATACAATTTTGAATGTTAATAATTGTCAATGGAGTTGATTCATATGTAACATAATCATCCCATAATCCAACATAATTGTAGTATTTACAGATAGATAAACTTGGATCCCGTGATAATAACTGGCCTGGAGAAATACGCTGCTAAAAAAATAAATTCTTCTCCCAAGAAAATGATACCTTAGCAAAAGTATTTTTTTTTCCTAGTGTAATCACAGAATGATGACCCGTATCGGATCTGTACCTGTTATAAGATCTGGCAACCTGAACTAAATTTCCACTTGGAGAAGTAATCAAAAATACATCTGATACTTACTCAACAGAAGAAAAGTTTCCAGTCAGGTGGACACCCTTGCCCGTTCATAGGCGCAGGTGCTCCCTCGGTGGAGGAAATACATGCGACGACAGCAGCCATCACGAAGAACGAAATTTTCAAGAGTGACATGACTCAGTTTTACAATTGAAATTGTAGAGTGTTCAAAAATTTATTCGAACTGATGATGTTTGTATGACTTCCTTTGAGCCGCACCTCACCTTATATAGGCCCGAGTGACCGAAAACCATTGTTTATCACGAAGGAGGTAAATAATGCGATGACAAAAATTTGGAATTAATGGTGAATAGGTGGAAACATCAGATTAACATGACACTTCATTAATAAGACTGCCACAATGGTAAGAATGAGCTTGCCTAATAATCATGATTGAAGTTCTTCAGCCTTGAAATTTAATGCCACTTTGTCTTCTTTTTGTATTTTATCGGCGCTCATGAGTCACATATATTTCTGAAATAAAATGTACATTTTAACTTTGTCGGTACTCCATTAATTCTGCGTATCTACTGACGTTTTTCGAATTGTACGTTACCGGTGGAGGTGCTCTTCCCCTGCCAAGTTGATCTAATTACTTTAGAATTAACAAATTACTGGAAAAGTTATCACCTTATTTTTTATCGTAATCGTCGGACACGGGGCCTATTTTTTCCCGTAAATTGACCAAGAATTGCTTATTTATCATCAAACAGAGTGGAAGAGAAGAGAGAATTCATCCGTTGTAAGTAAATTTCATTAACCCTTAAGGTGTTTCGTAAGCAGATCACCGGAGGGTGAAACGAAAGGGAAGTCTTATTGTTCTCGAGCTCTGCTTCAATCGCTGAACACGAAATTTTCCAATTTTCAAGTAACTATTTAAGTGTTTATCAAAAAAAAAAATGAAATCGATCAAGTAGTTTTTGAGATGTTGACCAATATAGTTTTATACAAAAATTTGAATATCTCTAAAACTACTAGACCGATATCGCTCCGCCAAAATACCAACCTTTTGGTATTATAGGAGCTGCAATGATACTAAATTTCAACCTTCTATCTCAATTTCTTGTCGAGTTATCGCGCGTACAAGGAATTTAGGAAAAAAAATGGAAAATCGGCAATATCTCGAAAACTTTGTATGAATGGGCCGATCAAAGGATGGAGGATTAGATTGATACAGACAGTGAGTTAAAAAACTCCGCGCCAAGAACGTTAGTTCTGCTCCTACTGATTTTTTATTTCATGGAGAATTTTTTTAGAATACTTATTCCATTGAGAACTATTTTTCTTATAGAAACCTGATTGTGCACTATCACCATTTATTCAAAATTCCTGACTTGGCTTCCTTTTTTATTTCCATGTATTTTTCAAAAACTTCGACTTCCCAGTAGTAATCCAACAAAACTTTTTCTTGGTCCAGTTTTTTTCCAAAAACATTTGGTTTTGTGTTTTTAGGCAGATTTCATTATTTTTTTCAAAATAAGCAAGGACTGTTTTGACATCCGGTGAAATTTGTTCTTTTCAATTCAATTTAACTCATTCATTTTTCATCAAGATGGAACATTTTTTGAATCAACAATTGAAGGGAAATAAACAGTTCTACTCCAGATTTATTGTCTCCACCGAATTTCAATTTTTAATCATCTATTAATAATTTTCTTACTTGATTTGGTTCGTCATTCAATTTTTGCTCTGATGATTCCTATGCGGATTGTATTTCTTGGAGAGATGAATTGATTTCCTCATAGGAATAGTCGAACAAAATGGTCACAAAAAATTCTTTTTGAAAACATCTGTTTTTGTTTTTTCGTTCTTACAAATATTAGGGAAACATTGGGTGGAATGGACTCTTCTGACTTCTTGTTTCACTATTTATAACCAAGGAACAAATTTATCGATTGAGCTCAATCTAAGCTTATTACAAAGGGGCTGACTCTACTTTAATTTTTGAAAAATTATATTTCATCAACACTTCAATAAGACATCAACATTTTGGAAAGGCTTCAAAGTGTCCATTTAATTCCACCGTCTCCTACTAATTTCTCCTAAATAATTACAACACTGTTCACACTTCACTGTCACTTAATTTAGAGAATTTTTTTTCCACGGAATGAAAACATTTTCTGTTACAATCGGAGAAAAATAAATATTTTCTTTTGGAATTTAACTATTCACGGACATTTAATTCTTGATCACACAATATTTTCGACACATCTCACTTTTGTCACATTCCAAACATAAACCGATCACCTCACAAACAGTGCATAAACCTTTATGTCCGAGGTCCGCATATGAATATAGATATGGCGGGATGAAATTCGAATTTTCGACAAGAGAAAACAAAATAGAACACCAAGTCGATTTTCCGTTTCATTCTAATAAATGATTTAACGTGAAGAAGAACATTTCCCGTGGTTCTCCATAAGAACATCACAACCCACATTCAAATGCACTGGTGGCAACACTTCAACGTTGGACATGAGGCTCAGTTGGACCGGCGCTGCCAACGTTACCACTTGATTCTCTGACTTGATTCTCTGACTCTACAATGTGAATCGCGAGAATGTGAATATCCTTTATATCGGCCGTTCCCCCCCAGGTTATACGGAGAGGGCTCGTTGGCCCAGAGATGTCGCTAGCTACCTTTGGCATCGACGAGAGCGGGTCCCAGACCCGCTCTTTAGCTAACCTATACAGCAAGTCCAGATTAAAATATAGGAAAAAACATGAAAAGGATCCACCGGAGGGTGAGAATTATTATCTGTGTGTGTATCAACCACCTCGAAGCACGCCGCAAAAGCAGTACAAGAACCAAGTCAGACAAAAGTCACTCAGAACACTCAATTAAAACACCACTTCACAAAACACGTCCAGTCACAGTGCCGCCATGACAGGTCCCCCTCTACCAGCAGAAACTCGAAGGGTAAACCATCAACTGCCCAATCCTGGATTAAACTCAAATCAGCATCGACCAACACACTGGACGAGTACGTCAAAAGGAAGAGAAATATCGAGGAGAAATCACCCAGCCCCCAGGAATCACCGAGAAAACCAAAGGTCCCCAAAATCTTTGTCCTCTCCCCCAAAACCCCGGAAAACTCCGGACTGAGGTGCGAAATTCTGGAAGAAACACAGATAACTGTGCCCGAGGACGACCTGACGCCCTCACTCTCACCTCCACTCGACCCGATCCTGTCTACCTGCTCTACCTCCCCCCTGAAAACAGAAACAGGTGAAAAAAAAGACATGGAGGCTATCCTGAAGTCCCTGGAGTCCTGGAGAGAGGAATCGAGAGCTGATTTCCAAGCTCTTCGAGCTGAGACTGGCGTAAAATTTGACAAAATGGAGAAACTCATCACAGCCACGTCTATACAGCAACAGGTAAAGTTCGATGAACTTAAAGACAAGATACAAATACAAATATCGGAAGTCCAGGAAGGACTCGACAGGAAATACGACTCTCTCTCACAAGAAGTTGGGAATATTAAAACTCAGCTTGCAAACACACCTATACCCGATGACGCCTATTTGACTGCCAAGATTAATTCACTTGTTGACGAGAGAATCAATGCAGTTTTAGCTCAAAAAGCGTCTGAATCCATAGACATTCCTCACTTTATGGACGAGAGATTGGAGGATCTGGAGAAGATATCAAAAAAGAACAACAATCATTTCTGGCTTGTTCACTAGTACTACTTCCAGCAACGCGAAAGCGGAAGTGGAGGCGTTCTTTGTAAATGCCCTAGCCATCAGTGTTAAAATACGCTCAGCAAGAACAATATCGAGGAGGGGTGGAAGACACCTGACACAAGTGGAATTGGACCCAACCCAGGAGAAATCAGTTATCTGGACTGCAATGAAGGAGCACCACCCTAAAGATATCTACATAAACAACGACCTCACTCGGGGGGAGCGGGAGATCGCCAAATGCATCCGAGATACTGCCAAAACCCATCGACAAAGCGGCCGTATTGCAAAGATAGGATATCAGCGTCTCACCGTTGATGGTACTCTCTACGTCTGGAACAAAAGGAAAAAGTTGCTGGAGAAAAGCAGAAGTACATCAAATAATACTGTTCCGAAAATAACTGGTTCAACTGACCCCTCGGCCAGTCCCCATCCCAGTCACTCAGCTACGCAACAGAATTTTCAGCACCCCGGGGGCCAAGATGTGATGGAACACTGAAACCACCTGCCAAACCGCCGGCTCCCAGGGGACTTTCGTTTGGTTTTTGGAATGTCAATGGATTCTCCCACCTGGAGGACCTGGTTGTGCTGGACCTCGCGGATGTACTCTGCATCTCGGAGACCATGAAACTTACCCCACCTAATCCCCCCCCAGCCTTCCTGGACAAGTATACCTGCTTTTGGACGGACGCGGTGAAGGATAAAGATAAAGGCAGAGGCAGTGGAGGCCTCCTTATCGCCGTCAAGGACCTACCGACGCTCTCAGCACAACCCCTGGAATCTTCCCCTTGGTGGATATTCCTGAAAATAATCTGCAATGAATCTACACTGTTGCTGGGCCTCGTGTATTTCCGCTCGGATAGAGCCTTCGACTACACCTACGCTATCTCGATGCTCCCGGAAACGATAGAGGACATTACGCTAGCAGAAGGAAACTTACTCCTAATCATCGGAGGTGACTGGAACGCGCGTGTGGGACAAGTGGTAGAGGTTGAAAAACTCATATTCGAAGGTACCAGTTTGTCCCCGGAGATGTCAACGCTTGATAGCAAGACCAACGAGAGATGTACACAGACACTAAACCTGGCGACTGAGGTTGGATTAACCTTAATCAACGGACGAACGAAAAGCGATAGCCCTGCCCACTTTACCTATTCAAGAAATGGCGAATCTATAAACGACACAATTTGGTGTTCCTCACACAGCCTAGACCTGATTAAAGACATGAAAGTCCTCTCCGAGATTGCTTCCTCAGACCACTTCCCCCTGATCCTGGACCTATGGAGTGAGTCTCCCCTCCCATCCTCTACGGTAGCGCCTGCCCTTCCCCTTCAGCAAGTCCCACCGCCCCCCGAATCTTCTGGAACCCAGGCCACCTCGAGGCTTTCAAAACCCTACTCGCTACTCATCCCCAATCTACCATCCCCAACTCCGAATTACCCTTAGACCCCCAGGTAGCATATGATGAGCTCGTGGCAGCCATATGGCACGCCGCAAGTGAAATCGGTTTAGTGAAG